TAGATCCCTTCTGACTCACCGAGTCATTCCCCAACCCGGCGAGTCACCAACTGTGTCATTTACGGGGAAACCCTAACCCTACTCGTCAAGTCTGTTCTTTAACTCGGCGAGTCCATCCCATGCATAAACCAAACTGACCTCCTAAGGTCAGATACGTTCCATTAATCCATAGATCCGACCTTCCCAAGCATGATAATCACGTAAAGTCCATATCTTGATGCACAAACAACATCTATTTGATCCTATATGATGCGAACCGAACTCTCAGATGCTCCGGACATGAACATGTGTAGAAGCACTCCTCTATGTCAGAAATCCACCTCATCGCGACTATCGGATCCTAAGTCCCATCAAATTCCGGTGGCTTCGTGTTGCTGAAACACATAACTTATAACATTGTAAGCACGAATTCTTAGTGAGTTCCCCAAAATACCACATACTGCACATATGCCTTTCCAGGCCATAGGATCTTCCGATCCAAGTGTCTCAGGGGATTTCCATTCCAGACTCTATTGACCTTCCGGTCCATATCAGCTTGACCTTTCGGTCCACATCATACTCATATCACATATAACTTACATCACATATACATCATACACATAATACCTTTCGGTCACACATAATTACCCCCTCGGGTAAGGCATAGTGAGAAGACTCACCTCGCTGATGTCGGATAATCACTCGTGCCTAATCTCCTGACCTATCGTACTCCTATATCATAAGTACAACTCTCATTAATACTTTCCTGACTTTGAGTGATTACTACGATCAAGTCAACACTAGTCAACCCTAGTTAACACTGGTCAATGGTCAACCTTTGACCCGACTCGTCGAGTGCCTTCTGGCAACTCGGCGAGTTCCATCGCATACTCACATCCTCTAGATCCCTTCTGACTCACCGAGTCATTCCCCAACCTGGCGAGTCACCAACTGTGTGATTTACGGGGAAACCCTAACCCTACTCATCGAGTCTGTTCTTTGACTCGGCGAGTCCATCCCATGCACAAACCAAACTGACCTCCTGAGGTCAGATCCTTTCCATTAATCCATAGATCTGACCTTCCCAAGCATGATAATCACGTAAAGTCCATATCTTGATGCACAAATAACATCTATTTGATCCTATATGATGTTTTAGCCCCATTTATCATAACCCATGGTCAAAACCCCCATTGATCTTCATAAAGCTTAATGAGTAAGGCTCTATGGACCTCTATGGATCCAGATCTAAAGCCTCATCACAAATAGGGACTAATTGGACATCAAATCTAGCCAATAAAGGGTCCAAGAAACCCTAAATCCATATGATCATCATAACAACAGAAGGGGAGCCAAAATATTACCTCAAATGTGATGCTCTAAGCTCCAGATCCACAGAATGTCCACCTCCTTTGCTTCCTCTTGGCTAGAACCACCTTTTCCTTGCTAAACAATACTTCAAAGGTCAACAATGGCCTCCTCTCTCTCCCAAAACGCTCAAGTGCTCTAGGGTTTCTCTCAAGGGACTGATAGATGCAAATGACAGCCCTAAGGGCCTTTAAATAGGTCTCAAACCCGAGAGATTAGGGTTTCCTTAAACATCGCGGACTCGCCGAGTCTAAGCACCAACTCGCCGAGTCCCTCCACAAACTCCAAAAATAAATGAATAAAATAATATACCTGGGAATCCGGATGTTACACGTAACCTAAGTGGGGGAGGGTTGGTGATTCAGGGCGAGAGACCGCAGTATGGGGCGACTTTATGTTCAGCAGCTAAGGCGAGCCGTTACCTTTAGCAGGGTTGCACAGGTTATGTCGTGTAACATCTCATTTAAAGTATAATAAATAAATAATAAATCTGGAACCCTGAAATGTAATTTTATTATTATTTTATATTATTATTGTCCAAAATCAAATAATATTTAGCAGCGTGTTGGTTTCGGGAAGCCAAATGACAAGAACTGAAGTTCCGGGGGTTAAAGTGCAATTTCAGGGTTTATTTTGCAAAGGATTTTAGAAGCCAGGGGGTGCTTGGTATCATTTGGATTTAATATGAAAGGATTTTGGATGGCTGGGGTTAAAGGGTAAATTATACACCTTAGTTGAAAAGAATTTGTCATGGAGGGGCTATATGGTAACTTTTGGGAATTGAATTGTTATGAATCTTGGATGATGGGGGTTGATTTGTAAATTATAGCCTTACAATGAAAAGGAATTATGAAGGAGGGGCCAAAGGTGTACATTGAAGACAAATTGGAGATGATCGGGTATTAAACCTATCACCATGCATAGTGTGACATCCCCAAAATCACGGCCATAAAAGATCGGTTTTGTTTATACTTTATTTCAAAATCAGAGTAATCTTTTAACAAAAGAGTTGCGGAATTTCTCCTAAAACAATATTATGATAAAGAGTTATCAAAAGCATTTCCTTAGAAATGTATTTCATTAAAAGACTTGGGATGTCATGTTCGATACAGTACATAAGTATAAACGATACAGTATAAGCCTTACCACATTATTTCATATCTACAGGCCTATATCCGTAATCCCTCGTCCAAAACATCACATCTATGCTCATGCGCCACTACCTGTAATACAAGAAACTGAGTGGGTCAGACTGGGGAGTCTGGTGAGCACATAGGGTTTTTCAACCCACAATAAATAAGTCTATTAATTTCATCAATCAACAATAACCCGATTACCCGTTCCCATTATCCTCACATTACGTCCCTAAACACCTATCATAAGGGACCTATCCTAAGGATTATCATCGGGATGGACACTACTGTTAAGGGGGTTCTTCAGCAATAAATGTCCTAAAGGCAACCATGTGGGGGATGAGTACACCGGTGAACACATCATTCACAAACACCTACAGGTTGCGAGCCTGCCAGCGTTCCACTGGACTGTCTAGAAGAGTCTGTGGTCGTCATCTATACTCCGCTAGATGACTGGATCAACAACAACAACATCGAGGCCTCTCATCATTTTATCACACATCACCTATTACATCTACTCGTGTTTTACCCCAACATTTTTGTAGATATAAAATACATATACAATTTAAATCATTGAAAACATGTATAAAAACGTTCACCTAGAATAGATAGCAAGTATTCAGATAATATGCACACATAGCACGTAATTTATATAAAAAATACTTCATATCTATGTGTAAGCTGAAAGTAACTACGCACTCACTCGAAAGGTGGTGACTCAGCACTCGGACAGCGCTTCAATACTCTCAAAACGATTTTCCTTTGATAAAACCTAGTACCAATACCACTAGGGGCGACAAATTAATTAGTCTGACTATTATTATTATTATACAAGCGTTAATAACACTCAATATAACTCATAATAATAGCCCAAATAATTATTTTAAGGACCTAATAACATTCCTATAATTATTTGAAAGTTATATTAAAAATTGCGTAAGCGTAGCACACTTACAGCGAATTTTATCGAAAACTGGAACTTAATTGGAGCAGCGTTTCGAAACCGAAAGACTCCTTTTTTTCGGGACTCCGGGAGCCTCAGGGCTTCCTTAAGGTGCTAGGGTTCACCTAGACTTTAGGGAGGGTTCAAAACCCTAGAGAGAGAAAGATTTTAGAAAGAGAATGATAAATGGTGTGAAAAATCCAAAAGAGTTCGCATCTATTTATAGGGGCCGAAGCCTCTCGAACGCTGGGCGTACCGAGGCTACGTTGGGTGTAGTCTCGGGTATGGATGCCAGTTCGCAGCCAACTGTCTCGCACTCCGGATGGATAAGACCCGAAGGTACGCTGGGCATACCGGGTCTCATACGCAGGGTGTAGGGCGAAGGCGAGGCGATGTGGCACTGATCAGAAGCGAGCCTTGTCATTGGCATCGGACGGTTGTGGCGCTGCCACGTCAGCTACTTCGCACCAGGTCTCGCAATTTCACTTTCTAACTTTAAAAAATCGTAACTTTCGCATACAAGCTCCGTTTTCGACGTTCTTTATATCCACGCGAAGGTGGGAACGTACTCTACAACTTTTGTTTAGATTTCGTTAGCCAATTTTGACTCGATTTTAAATTTTATATTATTAACAGACCGGGACAGGATTGGTCCGTTAAATTCTCATAACTTCTTCATCTGACATCCGCTTTCGCCCATCTTTTTCTCGTTACGCTACTCTTAACGAGATCTTCGATTCTCGTTTAAGTCGTGTCGGCTAAAAATCACTCGATCTAATATTCGAATTTCGGGCTGTACACTGCTAATCCGAAACTTCAAAAAATCATAACTTCTTCATACGAAGTCAGATTTGGGCGTTCTTTTTATCGATATTCTTAGTTTAAAATATTCTACGACTTTTGTTTAGATCGCTAAGGCTAAATCTCGCTCTATCGTAAATTTACTATTTACGCTTCCCAGTATCGTGTCGGTTCTGTCGCGAAACTTCGACGGGTCATAACTTCTTCGTTATAACTCGGATTTCGGCGTTCCTTATATCCTCGGAATCCTTGTTTCGACCACTACAACATTATGTAAAGATATCAGGCTTATCTCACACTTTAATTTTGATGCTTATTTTTATCTTTTATTTATTATACATTTATAATTAAATAATAAGCACATAAATACACATAATTCACATAATACTCAAATATTTCCACTTTATTACTTCAAAAAGAGTTACAAGAGTTGACCTAGACTATTACATTGTCTAAAATGCTTAGCCCTGAAACCCGAGTGTTACACATAGACCACTAAACCCTAACCCTAGATACAAGCTTCGGCCGTCATCTTTCCTACCTCCATCTTTCCAGTTGCCTCCCTTGCATGTTGAAGCTAGAGAACCATCGAAGCCGCCACCACGAACCTATTGTCGGTGAAATCGCCGATCGATCGCCGCCTTATCTTCTTCAACTTCTAGCTCCTGCCACCAGACATCATTGTAGCCGGGGAAAAACGATAGAGACTGACGCCATGGTCATGGGAGGACTGGTCGAGGTTGTTGCTGTTGGGTTTCGTCTTTGTTGTCGCCGCCATGCGGCTGTTCCTCCGTGAAGCTGCTGCCAACGTCATCTATCGCCACTCACCACCACTGTCAAGTGTGGATGTGTATGCTTCAGCTCGTGTGTCACAAGCATGGGGTTGTTTTGGGTTGCTGATTATGATTCGAAGCTCAATGGATAGGAAAAGACGCGAAGACGAACCACCATGGCCGCCGTCCATGGTGGCTTCCATCGATAACAAGGTTGTTGTCGCTGACCGTCGCTGCTATTCCACCGTTTACCACCCCGAAGGGCCGCAATGTTCATGTTTCACGTGGGTTCAAGTGTGTTGTTGCTTCAAGTTCTTGTGGTGTGTATGTGTTATTTCATGGAGTGGTGTTTGGGTGTTTATTTGACCGGAAAAGCCACCACCACCACTGTGAGGTGGTGGTTGTCACCCTTTACCACTGCTTGCCACCACAATGCGGTTGTATGTGTGTGTTTTTATTAGTGTGTGTATGTGTGTGTTATTTGGATTGTGTTGTAAATTGTAACAGTGTCGGAATAATCAATAGGAAAACTCATTAACACCACCTTAAGGAAATTATTTATTAAACTTAAAATATTAATTAATAATCATTTGCAATTAACCTAAGTCAAAATTGGACTTAATGGATTAAGTCCTTAATAGGTTAAGTAGGAACACTTAACCCTAATCTTCATTTCATGTGAAAACCCTTATTTTACTTGGGCCTTGAGTTGGGCCTTCCTATTGGACTTGGGTGATTGGACGATTGATGGGCTATCCAAGAACAAGTAAATGGACCAAAATAATTAGATTGGCTATAGGATAAGGCCCATGTGAAGGACTTGAGCCCAATTTGGAAAATTAGTTCATAGGTGGGCCCTAACCTGGCCTTGATGATTATGTGATATTGAGCCATGGGAATACCAAGAGTTTGGACTAGAATAATTGCATGGGCCTTAAGGAAAGACCATGTAGAGGTCTGGGCGCAATTTGGAAAATTGGGCCATATGTTAGGTTTTGGCCCATTACTTGACTATTGGGCCTTTGGAGTGTGAGTTGGACCTGGGGCTTGGAACCCAGTTATTAATTGGGTATTGTTTGATGTTGAAAGTTTGGGAATCTATCAACCAGCAGCTGGAGTTTTATCTGCAGGACTTCAGCATTGCCAGGTGAGTTGTCCTCACTATACTAACAAGGTCGAAGGCACCAATGTCGGCCCTTATCGGATTTGCATTTAGGTTTATTGCATGATATGTTTATTGATTTATATCCTAGTAGTTAGGATGGTTGCTATGTTAGAGATTGGTTAGATCAGTATCTTAATTATAGGATGGTTGTTATGCTAATGATCGGTTAGATCGGTATCCTGGTTGTAGGATGGTTATCATGATTAGTGATCGGTTAGATTTGCATGTTTACTTGTTTATATGTTTGTGCACATGTTTGTTGGTTTGGGAAAGGGTTGAGGCAGGTCCTGCTGTGTGCAGTAGGCCAAGACATCATGGGTGGACCGGGTAGACTGCAGGCCCGAACCAGGCAAATCTAGTTAGGCCGAAGGCCTAACGAGCAGTACGGATAGGCTGAAGGCCCCGAGGAGGGTGGTCCAGACGTGTCGAGGGCTCAGAGAGCGGTCCAGATAGACTGAAGACCGGGAGTCGGTCGAGTCAGATTGATGGCTCATTATGCATGATGTTTGCTTATATGTTATATGATATGGTTATATATCTATGGCGTTGCTATTTTGGGGGTAACTCACTAAGCTTTCGAGCGTACGTTTATCGATTATTGTTTCAGATACTTTTGATGATCGCGGGAATGCGAAGGAGTGATCGTGCACCTCCTTATATTTTCATGATTGATTCTGGGGATACTCTGATGTCTAAACTATTTTCAAAACAAATTGTAATGACTTAACGATTTTAAATGTTTTAAAAAAAATAATTGGCTTGAATTTTTGGGATGTTACATGTCGCCTATGTTATGGATACCCGAGATAAGGGTAGGGCTACCGTGCATGATGTACCGAACCGATTGTACGAGAGTATCCAAACGTGTTCCCCAAGGATTTTTCTGGGGTACCTCTGGAGAGACAGGTGGAGTTTAAGATTGACCTAGTTCCTGGTGTAGTTCTGATTGCCAAGGCACCATATCGGTTGGCTCCTCCGGAGATGCATGAGTTGTCTACACGGCTGCAGGATCTGTTAGACAAAGGATTTATCAGAACGAGCAGTTCACCATAGGGAGCCCCGATTTTGTTTGTGAAGAAGGACGAGTGACATCGGATGTGTATAGCTTACCAGGAGTTGAATAAGGTAACAGTGAAGAACCGTTATCCCATCCCGAGGATTGACGATTTATTTGACCAGCTAGAGGGTGCATCTTGGTTCTCCAAGATTGATCTATGATCCGGTTACCACCATATGCGAGTTAGGGACAATGATGTGCAGAAGACATCCTTTCAGACTCGTTATGGTCATTACGAGTTCGTGGTGATGTCGTTTGGGATCACCAATGCTCCTGCCGCGTTCATGGATCTCATGAACCGCGTCTGGGATCACCAATGCCCCTTAAATAATTATATTTTAATAACTTTTATTTATTTTCTTATTCTTATAATAAAATGAAAAACAAAAACAAAATAAACCCGCCTTTCTCTCTCTCTCTCTCTCTTTCTCATGATCTTTATACTCATCTCTTAAAATACCGACCCCTCATCTCTTCCATTGTAAGGCCGAAAAACAAGTAGGAAGAAGCCATAACACTCTACTGCCCACCTCAATGATCCTTCTGGCCACCATGTTCCACCATAAACGATCAGCACCTCCCATCGACCGCTACTTCCCCTTCCCCGTCGTGAATCGCTAGAGCAAGCAAGAAAACCAAAAGTTGACTACCACAAATCACCAATGCAAACCAGCACTACCCACCACAGCTGATGGCATCGAAATCCCTTCCCGACCTCCCCCTGTCGTGACCTACCACCATCAAACACCCCAACGCCCATGCTGCCTTCTATATGTTCCTCATCAAGCTACCTAACAGAAGAGAGAAGAAGCGGCGGAGCCACCCGCTGTCATCATAGCTCCGTCGTCACCACCCGATGCCACCACCCCCGTTGTTGTCGTCGTTATCTTCAGACATCACCACCCGAGGCCAGCCACTCGATTCACTTCCGGCTGTAGTGGTGCTTCGGTGAGCCATCGAGACAGCAGCCTCACATCTCACACATCTCTTCTTCTCCCGTCAAAGCAAACGCCACCGAACCACTTGCGATGTCGTGCTTCTCGTCTGAACTCTTTTCTGGCCTCCTTCCCTTTGAAACCCCTAGCCACATCGACCCCCCTTCCTTCGCATCCTTCTTCCGAGACAGAAGAGCACAAGATCTATACCACTCGACCATCGATCGACCTTGGGGTTGTTTCCATTCGTATTTCTTTTTCTCCATCGGACGAGGATCTTCATAAATTTGTGTATTATGTGTGTGTGTGTGTTTAAGAAGATGAAGTTAAAGAACCCAGATGAAGATTTAGAAAGAGAGAAAGAGAGAGAAAGAGAGAGGGGGAGGGGGGATGGTGGTGAGTTTCTTTTTATTTTGAATAAAAATAGATAATAAAAAATGGAAAAACAAATTATAATGGCATAATTGTCTTTTTAAGTAAATAAGGACCAAAAACAATAGAAATATCCAATTTTGGACCAGTGATGCACTAACATTTCGTTTTGGACCAAAAGCACATAAAATTAACAACAATAAGAACCATTTTTGCAATTTTATCTATAATTTAACAAACCACATGCTAATTTAACAAACATATCCTCAAACTTTTATTTTTATAAATTACTTTTTTTTATATGTGCTATGTGTTGACGCATATTACCGATAAGAGGAGTCTAACGCCAATCTTTATCCACAAATTATAAAAAAATTATGTACTTCATTTCTAAATCAAATAAAGTTTAATATATACAACAAAAAATTATTAAAAAAAAAAATTAACAGGTGAAATGTGATAAACAATCACTTTTTTCTTTTTCTTTTTGAATTTTTTTTATCTAATTGTTTAACTAGTTGATTATTATCACCCATAAACATTGTATTAGTACTTTAATAGAGGTATTATTTAATTAGTGAAATTAAATATTACGTATATCGTTAAATATTAAAAATGTCGTTTCACATGACAAAAACAATAAAATCTTATAAAATGAAATCATAACTTTTAGCAATTACTTTGTAAAAAGCAAGCACAGACATACAAATAGAGATTATTTCATTTTTATAACTATATATTAATATTTCTCTAAGTTTCCAAATACGAAACGTTTATAAAAATCATAACTATTAAAACGAACCAATCAAAACCCCCCATATTACGACTATATGAAGTCAAGTTCCATATGAATTCCGATTTTAAGTTTTAACATCCCAAATCACCATATTCGACTTCCTCAAAAATATATTAATAGAAAAATAAAACAGCCTCCGACCACCACAAACCACCGCACTCCTCTACCACCACGTCATCATCGTATTCACCAAACAGAAGCAGCAGCAATGGATCAATCTACCAAAGCTGGAATCCCTATTGCCCTTTGCACTGTATTGCTTATATCCATATCTTTTATCTACATGTTATCAGAGAAAAACACATCGGTTTCCATAACACAAAAGGTTTCTCCTTCCAAACCCTCATCATCCATGGTAGGAACAGGATCCATCATACTTTCATTCATTTTCTTGAATTATATACATAAGAACAAAACTAAACAAGTAATTAATACATACTAAAAAGATATCGTCTTTTTACCTTGTGATTGCAGCGTAAGACCTCGACGTATAGAGATGAATTGGAAGCAGCATTGCGGGGAGCTTCCATGGCGAACAAAACCGTTATCATAGCCATTGTGAACAAAGCCTACACTGAGGGCGATAAACCGATGCTAGATATATTTCTAGATGGGTTTTGGCTTGGAGAAGATACACGATCTTTAACGAACCACCTTCTGATCGTCGCAGTTGATCAGACGGCGTTTGACCGATGCAAGTTTCTTAGATTACACTGTTACAGACTGAAGACCGACGGCGAGGATTTCGTCGGAGAGAAGGTTTACATGTCGGAGGAGTTCATAAAGATGATGTGGCAAAGAACCCGTTTCCTCGGAGATGTTCTCCGGCGTGGATACAACTTTGTTTTTACGGTAAGTCCGTTTTAATTACTTCATCTTAATTTCTTTATACTTAATTATAACATCTTTAGCTACGGAAATAAAGATTTGACTCGAAAGTTATAAATCCATTTAATTGGTGAGTGGCTATGTGAATTACGCGTTGTCACTTGTCAAGTTGTCACCATGAGAAAAATGAAATTAAGAAAGCTCTTATTATATCATGAAAATAAAATACTCCCTGATTACTTGATTTCCATTATTTGTAGTTGATGAATGCATCAAAATACCCCCTTATTACCTATAATAGATTTTTTTAGAAATAATTAAATTCCTTAATTGTCTAAATGTTTGGATTAATCGTTTTACCAATGGTTTTAATTATTTTTTATGTTAAGTATCTGGCCTTTAATTGGCTTAACTGATTGTACGGGAAAAAGGGATTGGGAAACTCGTTTGGGTCTCTTGGGTTTAATTTTGTTTGTTTGTCTTTACTATCTACCTTTTATTGTTAATTGTTAATTTTGTTTCAATTAAGTCTAAGTGTTCAAAAACAAAAATGATGATACACGTGATTTATTTACTATATTTAATGTAAAGAAAGAGAATAAACAATGTCTCCAGTAAGTTACATATGCTTCTAATTAATTAAAATAAAAATGGATTCAATACATATCGATTGAAGGCAAACGGGCAACAAGCTGTGCCGCTAGCTATTTACTATATATTTTTTGGAAAGTGATTATTGTGTATAAAAAACAATTACCTCTTACAAACATATTTTTTAGGTATATTTAGGCATTTAAAAGAGTACAACTTCAGTTTTGACCTTTCTTATTTATAGAATTCAAAGAATTTTAATTTGTATGACCTTTCTTCTATATAGAATTCAAAGACTTTTAATGTGTATGACCTTTCTTCTGTATGGAATTCAAAGAATTTTAGTTTGTATGACCCAAGGGATCTATCAACTGTAACGTTTCCCTTTCCATTCATTAATATCTACAGTAAGTCCACAACCATAACGGAAGATGAATTAATAAACAAGATTTAATTATATTAATAATAATAATAATAATATAAAATTACTGGATTGAACTTTGTGCATTATATATATATATATATATATATATATATATATATATATATATATATATATATATATATATATATATATATAGCTATTATGTACCTAATATTAGATATAGAACCATAAAAAACTACATTGTTTTAACCAAATGCAATCAAATATTTCTATCATCTTTCTTACATCTTCTATTACACCTTATGCTAGGCTTTGTATATATTTTTTATGGAGTTTTACAAGTTTAATTTTACAACACAAATCGTACATAAGAATATTTTATAAATTACCTATAGGTCTTCATATTAAAATTTAATATAGAAAACTATAGTGAAAGATTAAAAGTATTCATTAAAAAACTCAATAAACCTAATTTCATAACCTATCAAAAAAAACTATACAATTACACATAAGATAGATGTCAAAGGAAATTATAAAACTTACAAGAGGTCTAATAAAAACACACATTCAAAGTACATAGATGTTGAGGATGAATCACGAAATCTAAATTAATATGATTTCAAAAACATTAGGAAGAAGCTAAAATGAAAGAAAATTGTGTTTTATAATAAAAATAAAGTTGATTTTGATAGTTCTATACCATATATTATATATATATATATATATATATATATATATATATATATATATATATATATATATATATATATTACATATTTCATTTTTACATGCAAAATATACATATTTCAGTTTTAGATGATGATTGATGTGTACTTCGTCTCTAAAACAACTTTGTGGCATAAATAGGAAAAGGATAAAAAAATCATTTCATAAACAGACATATAACATGTGTTTTATATTTACAAAGAACTATTTTATGCATATAACCAATACTTAATACTATTTATTAAATGGATAACTCACAAAAAATCATCGCAATAAAATGATTTTTAGTGTTTCATATCCAAACACTTAAACTTAGTTTATAGTGGTTGGACTAAGTAATAAGCTATAAGCACCATCTTTTTTCCTATCCCTCTACATATATTTTCTTTCATTTGCTAACCAAACAAATATCAAAAATCAATATATCCTTTTTAATCCAAAATGTTTACTACGATTGATATTTTAATTAATGACAAAATTGAAAAAATGATATATGTAATTATTAGAAATATGTGTTTCATTGGTCCAAATTTAGATATATTATATGGTTTTGGTCCCTATTTTAGATTAATTCTTTTAATTGAATTATGATATATTAATAAATATTATTTTTAATAAGTAATATTTATATTTTAATAAATATTACTTTATTGGATTATTGATTTCTTTTAGTTAACTTATTTTTATTGCATTAATTCTTTTTTGTCAGGGTTTTTAGACATATTTTGGAAAACATCACTCACGAACCTAGTGATGGTGTTGTTATTGTATAAAATATGTTATCTTCCAAATATTTAAAATAAATTAGGATACATTGGATAAGTGTGATTTTTTAGGGTTTTTTATTTAAAATAATAAATAAACAATTAAAAAAATTAAAAAAAAGTTTAAAAAATTAAATAAAAAAGAATTAATCAAATAAAAAAATGTATAATAGTTCAATAAAATTAAAAAAAAATAGATGCAGAATTAAAAAGAATTTATTAATGTATAATAATTCAAAAAAACTAAAAAAAATTAAAAAAATCCATAATCCAGTAAAACAATATTTTTTAATATATAAATATTATATATTTAAAATAATATTTAACAGTATATAATAATCCAATAAAAATTAATTAATCCAATAAAAATGAAATTAAAAAATAAAATTAATAAATCAATTAAATAATATTTATTAATATATAAATATTATATATTAAAATAATATTTATTAATAATACAATAAAATATTTAATCCAATAAAAAGTAACTTTTGAAAAATATTTTATAATTCAATAAAATTAAAAAAAAATAATAATAATAACATGGAGAAATGGTTATTATGGTTTGGTAAAAGACATAATTTTAGAAATTGTTGGTAAATGTAAAATTGTTATTTTTGGACTAAAAGCATATATTTTTAACAACCACACATGGTTTTTATAATTTTGTCTCACTTAAAGTGAAATATATATGTTCTTATTTTCTTTTTGTTAAATTTTGGTAATAAACTAAGGATTTTTTTGAAATTTTGGATTTAATTGATTTCGTAATTCAAGCCGACATGTTCCTCAAATTTTGGAATATATTTTTTTTACTTTGTTAATTGTGATGTTCGTTTCGTAATGTGAAATCCAAAAAATAAATATGAAAAGACTTGCTCCGTACTTTTGATGTTAAATAAAACTAATCCGAAAATTTTATCCTACATGCAATTTTCTAGGTAAATCGAAAAAATTGTATCGTTAATTGCCCCATATATATTCCCCGTAATGATGTGATATTGACGTGTCTATTTATAAAAAATATAAAAAATAATAAATAATAAAAAAAGAAAAATCGCATGTATCAACTATCAAATTTAATATCGCTATCTATTAATGCCTATACGGCTATACCTATACATATATGAAAATATACACCAATTGCATCACGCGCGCCCTCACCCATACGATTCTTTGACATTCTGTGATGAAACTTGAGTCATGGTTCTCTTTGACAATTGATATGTTGTGTTGAAATCTGGTACTAATGGTTGTAAGTTGAATCAATTACAGGACACAGATGTATTATGGCTAAGAAATCCATTTCCACACCTAACTCTGAATTACGAAACTGCTGACCTTCAGATCAGTGTCGACCAGTTTAACGGCAACCAGTGGTCACAGAAAAACCCCATAAACACTGGTTTCTACATGATCCGATCCAACAACAAGACCATCGCTTTGTTCGATAAATGGTATGGAGAAAGAAACAAATCACCTGGGAAAAAGGAACAAGATGTTCTTATTGAATTAATGAAGAAAGGAAGTTTTAAAAGGTTGGGAATTAGGGTTAGGTTTTTGGACACCCTTTATTTCAGTGGGTTTTGTCAAGATAGTAGAGATGTTAAGATCGTTTCCACCTTTCATGCCAATTGTTGCCGGAGAATCAAAGCCAAAGTCTCCGATTTAACTTCTGTTATTCATGACTGGAAGAGATTTAAAGATCTCTCACCTTCACCCTTAGCCAATAAAACCATGGAGGAATTTAGATGGTCCAGTCATTCAGCTTGCCAAAAATCATGGATTTCATAACTTCTACTAATTTGATGGTAAGATCGATGATCCAATATATGATGGGGTTGTTTGTTATCTCCTTCGAAATGAGTTGTAAATTATTGTTTTCATACTCCAGATTGTTTAAATGTTACGATTATTTTGTTCAAATCATGTACGTATCATGTCATAGTGGAATAAAACCAGAAGGTATAAACGTATAATTTTCAAGTCTTCTTATTATATACTTATAGAATATTACAAAAGTGAAGTCCAAAACAGTACTCCAATCATCTTCGATTCCATGAATTACGACAAGCTCGGTGATCGGACCAATGAAACTCTGATAAATCATCGTTGAAGGAAGCTTTAAACCTCCTCCAATCATGAAGAACCTTGATCAAATCAGATTCCTTTGCCTTAATGCTCCGACAACAATTCGCATGAACAGTGGAAACCTTCTTAACATCTTTACTATTCTCACAAAATCCACTGAAAAAGATGGTGTCTAAAAACCTTACTTGAAGACCTAATCTTTCAAACTCCCCTCTTCGCATCAGATCCAATAGAACTTCTTGTTCGTTCTTCCCTACTACTGAATTGTCTTTCTCTCCATACAATTCATCGTACAAAGCAATTGTTTTGTTGTTTGATCTGATCATGTAGAACCCCGTGTTAATCGGGTTGTCTTCCGACCACTGGTCGCCATTAAACTTATCAACACTGATTTGAAGGTCTAAGCTTTCGTCGAGGTTCAGCCTTGGAAATGGATCCCTTAGCCATAATACATCCATATCCTGTAAATTTCAAGAACAAAATTAAAGCTTCAACTACACAAATTTTATTAATTGGTTGGTTGACCAGTTGTTTTTTCGTACAGTGTAAATAAAGTTGTAGCCACGCTTAAGAACATCTCCAAGAAAAAGGGTTCTTCGCCACATCATTTGTAGTAAATCATCCGCCATGAAAAGCGTCTCGACACCTTCTGTTTTCAATTTGTAGCAGTGCAATTGTAAAAAGGTGCACCTGTCGTAAGCCGGTTGATCAACTGCAACGACTAAAAGGTGTCTAGTAAGCTTATATGTATCTTCTCCTACCCAAAACCCATCAAGAAATATATCCAGCATCGGTTTATCTCCTTCTATGTACGCTTTATTCACAAAGGCTATGATCAGAGTTTTGTTTTCGTTTGAAACTTTTGCCAATGCCTCTTCTAACAAAGCTCCATAACTGTTTTCATCAGCTTTTGATGATGGAGATGGTGATTGTGGTGGTGGTAAATGTGTAGGATGGTAAAACCTGTGGGTTATGTTGGTTATTGACACAGATCCATCTTTGTCGGATCCAAGATATATGAATATAAGAGACACAACGGAGAAAATCCAGATGCCAAGAAGGATTCGAGCCGTAGGGAATTGATCTGATGATATTTCTTGTTCTAGTGTTCTCATGACGACGGAAATGGTGTTTTCCGGTGAATTTTGGTGGTGGATGACTGGCCGGAGCTAGGGAGGGTTGTTATGTGATATTGTTGGATGGATAAAGTTTCATGGTGATGAAAAATATGCGAAAAGTTTGAGGAAATTGAAGAAATTTGATTGATAAAGAGAGGAAAGAAAGAGGGAAGATGATGATGATGATGATGATGATGATGATGATACAAACCATTTGACATGCAACGAACATAACTAACCTAAGTGAGATGTGATGAAGCTCAATGGACAAGCGACTTGTTTGTCTAATTAAGAGGACTTGTTTGTCTACTATACAAATTCGGATATGAAGTATTGTGGAAATACATAAAAAACCTTCCTAGGTCCACATCCAACATGTATTACATAGGTTCATTTTTAAAGAAAAAAATACGAAATTCTAAACATTTGAGAAATTTGAATTTATAAGAAAAAAATCGAAAAATATTGAATTGTTAAAATTAAATTGTTTGCTTTTTTAATTAAACAAATAATGTAGATAAATAAACAAAGGAAACTAATAAAACTTTAATTAGAAAATTTGAAATTAAAAGGAAGTCAATTAATGAAACTGATATGCATTTTATTATTATGTCTATTGCAATTATTATATTTAAATATTATGTGAAAATTAATAAAATGAAGAAAAAAAACCACAAAATGACATGTGGAATAAAAATTAATTGAAAATAACCATAAAATTACATGTAGCAAAATAAATGAGAATGTGATATGTGGCAAAAGGATCTTTATTTATTAGGGAGGATACCGAATGTGTTCAAATCTACCTAAAATGTGATTAAATATTTGTAACATTTTGAGATTTTTTAAATTTTTTCATAAAACAAATAGTATTTTAGGAAATCAAAGAAGAGACAAAATAACCAATTTGACCAACTTAAACCTCAATTCATTTTGGCCTATATCTTTTGAGGCAAGTTTTCTAAGGTCGTCGATTTCAAATAATTAGATGGTTGTCATCACGGTTGAAAATATTTGTTAGCTTAAGGAAATAGTTGATCATTGTTTTCGTTCGTGTATATTTGGTTATGTATTATATATTGATTGAAAACATGAATTTCCCTTCTTTTTTTTGTACAGGCTGGATGTATTGCTATTGTATATTTCTTTATGTCCTTGTATAATTAATGGTGTACTAACGAACATAACAATTAGGATATTATGATTTTATTTCCACAATTTATGACAAGTTTTTCTTCACTGCTTTACCCTTTTTACGTTCCTTCATTTTTCAACATGCTTATTCAACTTAGGTTAGGTTTGTTACGATTTGATTATGCGGGTCTTTGTTCTACTTTGATGGAAATCCACAACAAAGTTCGCCATTGGCCACAATGTCTACATTTGATGATATATTAGTAGATGGATTGCAATGGTCTTGTTACAATTTGTCTTTTCGGAAAAAGGTAAATTATCTATGTTTCTTTTTCATAATTTTTTAAGGTACAGTTTTCTATGCCTATTTGTAACCCATCAATAAAGTAGTGGAAAACAAATAGAAATGTAGCGGTTTCTTCGCCACTTTTTACTCAGTGTAAGGTCAATTGAACAAAACTAAAAACTTAATAACTCATGATATACAGTTAGAGATCCTTATAGATGTCAAACTACTTAATCGACCAACAACTTGATATTTAAAAATTTTTGGTTCATATAACAGAAAACATAATAACCACATAATATTTTATAACAACATATTATCTAAGAATGATATATTTTTGTCTATTAATCATAAAAACCATATTTATCCAGAGTTGACACCTGATCTTTTTTGCTTGCCAAATTTTGATGTTTTGACACAGTTCAGCAAATATACTGTGATAACTTACTAACTGGGACACAAAATGAAAACAACACATATAATCTTTGAGACGTTAAAACTAAATAAAAACCTCAAGAAAAAATATATTTCAAAAATAAACAATGAAAAGAAACCACGCAACAATTCCGTTACAAAAAGGGTTCTATCCTAACTAAAGACTTACCCAAAACCTAGCTAAAACAATGAACTAAAGAGATGTATTTAGGACAACTGTAAAAAAAAATTAAAAACCTTATGAGCTATATATATATATATATATATATATATATATATATATTAAACCTACTTGATTGTTAAAATCGAAAAAAAAAAAAAAAAAAAAAAAAAAAAAAAAAAAAAAAAAGGGAAGATACTCCTATCGTTTACATCTAAAAATCATCATACTTTCAATAGTCAGATTTTATCTAGATTGGTTGATATTGATAAGATCTTTGATGATGGTGCCTCGTGTGAGGATTTGGTTCGGGAGAGAAGGACTATTCTCGGTGATTTGGCTTCCTTGGAAAAGTCTCAGTCTTATGATTCAACTCAAAAAGTATGGATTAATTGGGTTATTGAGGTGGATGAGAACTCAGCTTTTTTCCATGCTATGCTGAAGAAGCGAAGACGTCAGAATCATATTAGAGGCATTTTTATTGACGGGGAGTGGGTATCGGATCCTCCTCTAGTCAAAAAAAAAGTCTTTTATGCTTTTTATGCTACTAAATTCTAACATTTTCAGGGAGTTTCGATGGCCCGCATGAGTGATGGATTCAAATCTCCTTATCTGGGTGTGGCTAATTCTTTAGATTTGGTTTTTTCTAGTGAAGAGATCAAGAGTGAGGTTTGGGATTGTGGGCTGGACCGGGCACCGGTTTCGGATGGTTTTTCTTTTCGGTTTCTCATACTTTCTTGGGAGATATTGGGAGATGATGTTGTGGCTTTTGTCAGGGACGGACGCAAGAATTAGTAATAGGGGTTGCACAATTTTTTTTCCCGTCACACATAACATAAAACATTAAAAAAAATAAAAAAATTCCGGTCAAACATAATATAAAACATCTATTCATCTAATACAATTTTTTTTCTGGTTAAACATAATATAACAACGATATACTAGAATTTAAATTTGTCCTCTTCGTGCAGACATCTTTTGAAACCGCTCTATTACTTTTTCATTTTCAACTTTCGCAAGTGCTTCGGTCTCGATATTACACAGCAATGCGTCGTTCAAAAATTTATCGCCAATTTTGTTACGCAAGTCGGTCTTCAAGAGCTTCATCTTTGAAAAACATTTTTCTACACTTGCGGTCGCTACAGGTAATATCAAAGCCAACTTCAATAGCTTATAAACCAAAGGATAAGATCGATGCTTCCCCGTATTAACCATCAAACGAGAAAGGTCAGAAATTCCTTTCAAACTAGCGAAACGCTCATCTTTGATGCAAAAGTGATAAAATATCTCAAGTTGTCCTTCAAGGTCTATCATATCTGAATCATCAAAGTCATACTTGTATAACTTACCCAACTTCAATAACTTTGATTTGTCAAATTGTGCAAATGAATCACAAGGGCTCAAAGCACCCATGTATTCTAGTAATTGAGTGCTTGTTTCACTAAATCGATCCCGATATTCTGTAAGTTGCATATCTACCAACGTGTTGAAGATTTCAACCTCAAAATGAAACCTATTAGTCTTTGTAGTCCTACGGTTTCTCGCACCAATATACAACTCTTCCATATCCAAAGTATCAATTTCGTGTGTTTCACAAAAAGAGGATACTTTTAGCAAAATGCTAGCAAACCCTATGTTTCTAAAAGATTGCAATGCCTCCATTGTCCCTCTAACCATCAAAGCCGCTTCTAAAATGTCTAGATCTTTTCTTTGAAGTTGCTTTGACAATGTACCCGTGAGGTGTAAAATGTCATACATCATATGTAAGTAAAACACGAACTCATATGATTTAAAATATGCTAAGATTCCAGATGCTTGCTGACGGTTTGCCAATGACCCTCCCTCCGCTTTCACAAAATCTAAAACTACAAGAACATCCGCAAATAACTTCATCAAACTTGTGAGTGTGTTGAAATGTGAACCCCATCTTGTTTCTCCCGCTCGAATAGGTGTGGTCTCTTGATTTAACCCTCTTCCGGTTTCAAGTTCACCACTACACAAGCCTTTTTGCACCCTTTCTCTTGCTTGCTCTCGTAGTAAGTCTTTTCTTTTACACGATGCACAAACTACATTAACCACCAACGAAATTTGCTCAAAAAAGTCACTAACACCATCATGCTTCTTTGCTACAGCCACAACTACTAATTGAAGTTGGTGTGCAAAGCAATGTACATAAAAAGCCGTGTCATTCTCTTGTAATATCAAAGCTTTCAAACCATTGAATTCCCCTCGCATATTGCTAGCCTCATCATAACCTTGTCCTCTTATCTATTAAAATTTAAAACAATTAATATATATATATTAATTAAATTGAAATAATAAAAAAACTAAAGAATAAATTACCTGACTAAAACTCAACTTATTACTTGTAAGTACTTCATTTATGGCGTTTTTGAGTGTCAAAGAAGAAGTATCCTTCACGTGCACTAGACCTATGAATCTTTCTTTCACAAAGCCAAGAGTATCGACATAACGCAAAACAATAGCCATTTGTTCCTTTTTTGAAAGATCACTAGATTCATCAACTAGTAAAGCAAAAACATCTTGACCAATCTCTTCACGAATACTTAAAAGTACTTCTTGTGCAAAACATTGCACAAGTTCTTTTTGAATTTTAGGGGAAATTAGTTGATTGTTTTTTGGAGCATTTTCTAAAGTATTGTTGAAAATATCTTCACTAGTCTCTCGAATGGCTTTTAACACTTCAATGTATAGCCCTCTATTTTCCGAGTTAACTGACTCGTCATGACCACGAAACGGTAAACCGGTTTTCAATAAAAGTCTAACAACAATAATAGAAACACGTAATCAAGCTTTATATTTATGATCCTCTGCTTCGGTTTGCCTCCTAAAGACTACATTGATAGCTTGTTTTCCCCTCATTAAAAACTCACACTTTTCTTTTGCTTTGTTGTGAAAACTATCAATACCACTCACATGAGTCCGAAATGCATCTTTATTATTCCAAGTATCAAAACCTTGAGAAACAAATGCATCTCTCCCTCCTTTTTATCCCATTAGGTCCCCACACAAATAACAATATAAACAATATGCATTATCCTTTTTCACACTATATTCCAACCAATCAAAGTCATCAAACCATGAAGGA